ACCAATTCTTTAGGTTTCTTTGACTTCTTTATGCCTTATATTTACTATAACAGTACACTTCAGCTATATAACAAAACATCCCTTGAGAAACAATTTGTTTTTTTTTCCCTTGAATCTCAACATTTCCCTCGACTTCATCTTGGGAAACTATGAGCCTCGGAAAAATAAAACTAACTTTTTCCCTCAGGGCCAGTAATTAAGTTTACAAAGTTTCATCAATTAATTGCATGCATGCTGTGATAAAACTAGAACTGCATGTTTTAACATGCATATTTTTTTAATTTTATTAAAACAAAATGTACTGGTTCTCTAGATTATTACTTATAAAGCAAAATAACTCTAAAATTGTTTGTGGATTAGATCGTTCTGAGAGCATAAACTATTCAGACGTGAAGCGAATAATTAACCAGCAAATCTCAATAATTTTGAGACATTACATGTAAATTAGAATATTAGCAAGATTAGCGGCCGGCACAGTAAATTTGCACACGGTTCTCTCTGTCAACAATAAAATCAACTTGTTTGAAGACTTCAATTTAAAGAATTAAATATATTTATTAGGAGTCTTTGAAAATTATCAGTAGCTAAAAGCCTAAATATTGGGTTAAATCAAAACAAACAAACAGATCAAACTACATGTAGTTCCAATCTTGGCCTTGATCATAAGCGCCATTATTTACGTTTTGCCTACATACACAACCGATTAGCATAAAGAATCATCAATTATGTTTGATCCATTGAACTTTCAAAGGCCCTCAACAAACTTTTCATCCTTCCAGCTTACCGGCAAAAAAAAAAATTCTCTCATGATTCTCCTGTTGATCGATGGTTTATCAAATTCTAAGGTTTTTGTTTATCCGAGTTATCACAGCATGCTTTCAATGAACAATCAACAAAACGTGCACAAAGCTACGTACCAATTCCTTCTAGTGTCTTGCTAAAAATTCACTCACCTCATCACCTCTGTTTCCTTTCTCTTGACCCTCTTCCAAAGATTTTTCTGATCTTCTACTTACAAGTGAGGTAAAAGAGCCTTCGGATATGAGCGGTAAACTCGGACAATTCCTTGACCTTGCCGCTTCATCATCTTTCGCATGTGATTTGTTCACAATTCTAATCCCGTGCACACCGTTAGAGCCATAAATGTGCTTAGTAGTAATTCCAAACGGTCCACTTGCTATTGAAGGAAGCATGAGGAGCAAAATATTGCCTGTTTAGGCTATATTGAGCGGGAAAGCTGATGAAAGTGCAATAAATCAAACTCTCTACTTCCATGGAGACGACCACAGCACACAAAAAAACGCGCGCCGCTCAATAAAGATTGTAGTTCTCAAGCCCTTTAGCACTCAGTAACTACAGCATTCGTTTTCCTTTCCAATAGTTATCACAATTTGAAGAGAAATGTCGAAAAGGCTCTCAGTGAACCGCCTGGACTGTTACATGTAATTATCCAAGATTCTTTCAGTGTTGTTGACGTCTATGAACTTGATCAAGTCTAAGTGGGAACGAGGAGGGCAAGAGGGAGGAGGGAGTGGGGTAATAACATAACTAGCAGTTAATATCGAAGATTTTACGATATCTTTAAAAAGGTAAATTCAATTTCTACGTTCCTCTAAGAGAAAAGTGATCCGATAATAATCATATTCCAGTAAGCTAGAAAAGATAGACAAAAAGGAGAAAGTAGGGTGAGATAAAGCCCAGGGGTAGGGTGGGTAAGTGAAAGTGAGAGATCAATTGCTTCCCATGAAGTTACTCATGCGAAACAGGAAAGCGTCTTTGGTCTCCACTTGGGACGCATAGAAGTTGAGGACTGAGGGGTTCTATTTTTCTTGTGATATTTGGGATTTGAAAGCTGAGAAACTCTGCTCTTCGCAGCTTGGAGAGTACTCAAAATGTCTTGTGAATATCGAATGCCAGACCTGATAAGTAAAAAGAGGGACGGAGACGAGCTATCAGAAGCCGAAATAAACCACTTCGTGACGTCTGCAACGAACGGTGCTTGTGAAAGTCAGATCGGCGCAATGCTCATGGCCATGTACTTGAAGGGACTGAACCGCGATGAAACTGTGAGTCTTACAAAGGCAATGCTTTCGTCTGGAATCACTTTGCAGTGGCCTGAAGGATGGCAAGGCAGTGTTGCAGATAAACATTCTACAGGAGGGGTTGGTGACAAAGTCAGTCTCGCGCTGACTCCAGCTTTAGCGGTCTGCGGAGTAAAAGTGCCGATGATTTCAGGCCGTGGTCTAGGCCACACTGGTATGTTTTCAGTCTTCTTAAAGGTTCAGTTGTACGATTTGTGACATTTGTTTTTGTAAGATTTTATTCCTTTTGTCTCGACCTGCATTAATTGACCTGAACGTATGCATCACTGGTAACGTAAACCGGCAACATAACACTTGTATATTGTTTATTTGTATCTAATATTGTGTGGCTTTTTGAACTGTGAGCGGCTTTACGATTCTTGTCATCTTGCTGTGCTTTCGGAAGGAAGCGACAATTTGCTGATGAAGTCTTTGTTATTTTAAAGCTGGCCTGTTCGTACATGGAGGGGTGGCAGGGGGACGCAACTAATGGGGACGGGTTGTCACATCTGACCTTCGTTGTCAACACGCTGGTTCATTTGTGATATCTATCGAGTTTTGTTGTGTTGTGAGTTAACAAGGGGTTATGTTCAGGCGAAACTAACAAATTATCTCCCTGATTGACATCTTCAAGTGAAGTTTATTTAATAGACCCAAGATGCGCAGTTTTACATTTTGTGTGTACGTGTCTGCACGAGTCTGTTTTTTGTGTAACATGCTTTTTTTCCGGCCCACCGATCATGCGTGAATCCTTTTGTTTTTCGGCAGTGAATTTTTATATTGGTTCAAGTGTCCTTACAGGATATAATTTTTCAAAATCACCCCCTCCCACCCGAAAAGTCAAATGGTCCTCACCTTAGAGGTTGTCACTGGGGTGGGGCATTTGCCAACGGGGGGGAATTTGCCTCAAAGTCAAGGTTAAGCTAGAAAAATCATCAACAGACAAACACAGTTCTTTGCAACTTTGTGGCTCAAAAAGAAAAGGCATTCAAAGGCTTTGTGCTGAGTTTGAAGATAAAATTCAGTAAACAGCTTTGCATTTTAAAATTTAATTATACCCAATTGTTCAAAGTGGGTGTTCCTATGGTGTTCCGGAGGTGGGGGAATTTGATCACCTAGTATGACCCTTAGGTGGGGCATTTGAACACCATTTTTAGGGGGGGGGGGGGGGTTGGAAACTTGACCAAACAAAAATTTAAGATGTCAAAGCCCTGGGGCTGCCTGCAGGGAGGGTGTTGAACTTTTGAATTGACTGGGCATAGTAGACTGACATACCATAAATCCTTGAATAAGCACCCTTTTCAAATAAGTGCCCCTCCTATCGGCCAAAATTTAAACTAAGTGCCTCCCTCCCCTCGCCCCATTTTGTGGACGAGTAATGAGACAACAAAGGATGTATAGTTTTTGTCATTAAGCATCAGATTTGCTTCAGTTTGTGAACACGTTAAGTGAACACATTGAACACATTAAGTACTAACGGTGCCACAACTTAAACTTTAAAATCAGCTTTTTATGTCAATAAGCAGCTTATGTTGCTGTTTATGTGCAGATGTATTAAAAAAATGATCATGTCAGGCCACGATTTAAGAAAAATTAAATAAGCCCCCTCCCTCTCCCCCCCNGGTAAAGCTTTTCAGAGTCTGTTGAAAAGCCTTGATAGACTTGAGAAATTGCATCATCATTACATAGTTTCTTTACCAGTATGTGAAATTAATCATGAACTAATTAATATAATTTATAATTTTATTTAGGTGGAACCCTTGACAAGCTAGAGTCAATACCAGGCTTCCAAGTGAATCTGGACTCCAAACAGATGTGCAGTGTTTTGGGAAAAGTTGGTTGCTGTATTGTAGGTCAGACGGAGGCACTGGTCCCAGCTGATCGCGTACTGTATGGTATAAGAGATGTCACAGCAACAGTAGATTCAATGCCTTTGATAACAAGTTCTATCTTATCAAAGAAAGCAGCTGGTGAGCAACTTCTTATATTAGAATGGTTTTCAATAAGTGCAAAATTAAAAAAAAAAGTTGCTTTGGCTCAAGTGCTATGATTATTATTCATTATTATAAGTATTACTATTATTATTTATTATTTTTTTATTGATTTACTTTTTTGAGGCTCCATTGATAACTTCTTACTAGTAGACATTAGTTTTATTCTTTTGCTTTAATTGACTGACTGGGAGGGCTGGACAGGAAAATGCTTGACTTGGTCATGAAGTCCATGCAAAATAAGCAGAAGCCCTATTACAGTATCTCATCCAGCTTGACCTAATTAGGTCATTATTTTCTCACAACACCTTTCTTGACATTTTTTTGGGAAATTGTAAACCTGTGTTGATGAATGTTCTGCGTTGTATGGTATGAGCTTGCTCTCAACATGTGCAGGGCTGGTGAACTTTTTCTGTAGGCTGACTAACATCAACCCATCCTACCTGACACCTGTATGTTACTAACAATTGCACGATTGTAGGATTGTATCAGCAGTGCTGTATAAAGAAATAATATATGCATTTTAAGGTAGAATAATAAAATGAAATGTTTAAGTTTTTAATCTCAGTTATTTAGATACCAGTGACCCTAAACATGTTTCCCCTTTCGTCACACTAGAAAACCTATCCGCTTTAGTGATGGATGTGAAGTTTGGCAAAGCAGCCTTTGCCAAAACAGAAGAGAGGGCTCAAGCCCTTGCACATACTCTGGTTGGTACGTGCTTTGGTTTGGGTATCAAGGCAGTTGCCCTTATCACTAGTATGGATGCCCCTCTAGGAAGAGCAGTGGGGAATTCTGTGGAAGTGGCAGAAGCTATCAGTTGTTTGAATGGAAAGGGTCCTGAAGACTTGAAGGAACTAGTGTGTGAAGAAGGCAAGTTGATTTGGATTCAAACTTTTCAGTAATAATTAAATGAAAGAAAGTCATCACACAATAAAACACAAATCTTTATGTTTAAATAAATTTTGCTAAATCTGTAGTGTTGTCTCAATGTAACATTTTAGTCAATCAT